ATTAACTAAGATGAAATTTCAATTGACATTAATTAAAATTCTCATTTTTATTTATAATAATTAATATTATAATTTAAATTTTATTATTTCAAAAAAATTTAATTTATTATTAAATATTAATATTTTTAATAAATAAATCCTTCTAGTTCAACTAGCTTAGAGGCCTATCCGGTCTAACTAGTTCAACTGGCTTAACCAAAACAAGTTAAAAAAAAAAAAAGGGTAGATCACCAGGTTGGGTTTCAAAACATTGAGTGCAACTTCTTTACGATCTAACCCATATAACCCATGTCCAGTGTTTACACAATTGCACCCAAGCCAAACTTGGCCGCTTGCCAAACCAAAATGTAATTGTAATTAAAATTTTTTTTAACTTATTTCATGCTTGACCAATTCATATTTATCACGTTTAATTACCAACTATTGCATGAATTAATTAATTTACCAATAAATGTATATTTATAAATACTATTAATACCGCATTTATTTTTTCCATATATTTAATATCTCTATTTTATTATTCAATTAAAGATGACAAGTAATCGTCGTTGGATGTATAACCGACGAGGTCCTCGTGGAGATTGTGGTGATGAATTCTTTAATGGATTGGATCAATTTTGTGATTTTGTATACAGTCGTCCAGGTGTGAACCCGAATGCTAATATCCGTTGCCCTTGTAGTAAATGTAGGAATTTACCCCACCACAACAAGGTTACCGTAAGGGAACATCTTGTGGATAATGGTTTCATGGATGCATATTCTATTTGGTGGGCACATGGTCTGCCGTATGTGATGTAACATCCTCAAGTAATACAGAGGAACATGTTAACGCTGAGGATGATTTTCGTCACATGGTTTATGATGCATTTTGTCCATCTGAGAACTATCGCCCAATAAATGAAACTGAGTTTCCAAGTGAAACTGTTGGGGATGAGCCAAATAGACATGCACAAACTTTTTATGACTTGCTGCGTGCTTCAAGCATCCCAGTTGGACCATCATCTAATAATCAAACACTGCTTGGTTGGTTAGCGTATATGTTGCACACCAAATCCAAAAACAACATAACTGGTGTTGGGTTCAATGAGATCATTCATGGCTGTAGGCAATTGTTAAGTCCTGAATACCAACAAAAAGTACCATCAATTTTTTATGAAGCAAAAAAATTCATGAAAGGGCTAGGTTTAGGCTATGTTAAAATTGATGCATGCGTCAACAATTGCTTTTTGTATTACGGGACGGATGGCAAGTCACTTACTGCTTGTCCAGTTTGTGGTGAACCTAGGTATGAAACACGCAACCCAGCTCAAACTAGAAAAAAAGATAAGGCAAGGAAATCTTTGTGGTATTTGCCTATAATTCCATGCCTACAGAGGTTGTATATGTCCCGTAAAACTGCTGAGCATATGACATGGCACCTTAAATGTCGTGCTGACTCAGAGGTCCTCATTCATCCTGCTCAGTCTGCTGCTTGGAAGCACTTTGATGAAGTTCATCCTTCTTTGGCATGTGATCCACGAAATATCCGTCTTGGTCTTGCGATAGATGGGTTCAACCCGTGGAGTCATTCTTCGACATCATATTCTTGTTGGCCTATTTTCATCGTCGTTTATAATCTTCTTCCTGAGATGTGCATGCAACCTGAATTCACATTCCTCACACTTGTTATTGCTGGACCAAAAAGCCCTGCAAAAACATTGATGTATTTCTTCGTCCATTGATTGATGACCTGAAACAATTATGGTTGTCTGGGGTAGAAACATATGACAGCTTTCGTAAAGAAAACTTCATAATGCGAGCCATGCTTATGTGGACCATAACGAATTTCCCCAGCTATGGTATGGTTTCTGGTTGGAGCACCCATGGTCGTTTGGCGTGTCCGTATTGCATGGAAATGACTCGAGCATTTTACTTGAAACATGGTCGCAAAATATCCTTCTTTGATTGTCATCGACAATTTCTTCCTGCATCACACCCATACAGATTGAATGCAACTGAATTCCTTAAGGGCCATTTAGAATTTGGCCCTCCTCCTCCACGATTAGATGGTTAGTCCATTCGGCATAGAGTTGATGCACTGCCTAATGTTTTATTTGGAAATCCATCAGTGAACCAAACTATTCCTGGCTTTGGTGAAACCCACAATTGGGTCAAACGGAGTATCTTCTGGGAACTCCCATATTGGGAGGATAATCTGATCAAACACAATCTTGATGTCATGCACTGTGAGAAAAATTTCTTTGACAACATCATTCACACAGTCATGGATTACCCGTCCTCAAAAGACACTGCTAAGTCAAGAATGGACTTACCACTATATTGTGTTAGGGCACAACTACACATGTACTATGACCGTTCTGGCACACTTTGCAAACCAAATGTGAGTTATGCACTTGACACACAACAAAAAAAATGTCTATGTACATGGCTAAAACAAGTGCGATTTCCAGATGGTTTTGCATCCAACATCTCTCGATGTGTGAACTTAAATGAGCTCCGCTTAAGTGGGTTGAAGAGTCATGACTGCCATGTATTCATACAACGCCTCATTCCAATTGCTTTCCACGGCTTTTTGCCGGATTCTATATGGGGTCCATTAACGAAAGTAAGTAATTTCTTCCGTGCACTATGTGCCCCTACTGTCAACATAAACGATATGGCGATTTGGGAAACGAAGATAGTTGAAACAATTTGTAAGTTGGAAAGAATCTTCCCGCCATCATTTTTTGATTGTATGGAGCACCTAGCAATCCATCTTCCTTTTGAGGCGTGAATTGGTGGACCTGTGCAATTCCGATGGATGTACCCGTTTGAAAGGTAATGTGAACAAGTTGACACTCATTCCATATATAACAAAATCTACAACCATTTATGATTCTCATAACGTAATTCAAATTTGACAGATGAATGCGTAAACTTAAGGACACGATAGGGAACAAAAATCATGTTGAGGCATCCATTGTAGAAGCATTCATCATAAATGAAACAACACAATTTTTCTCAAGATATTTTGGTGAGGATGTTGAAACAAGTTGGAATAAGCCACCAAGGAACTTTGCAAGAGCTCCACTTTATAGGAACTCAAATGTATCCATATTTGCATTGCTTGTACACCCGATAGGTTCACATTCAAGGACACATTGTCTAACAATTCAAGAGATGCAAGCAGATGAACTTTATGTACTGCTAAACTGTAGGGAAGTTGATGGGCTTCTCCAATGAGATATGTCAAAACAAAATCATATTTTACATAATTTCAGAGTCTGCTTTATCAATTACTACATGAAAGTTCAGGTTTCCAATTGTGGTCACACATAATTGTTTCCATATTTCAGCATTTTTGATCAAGAAGTTGGAGCATATATGAGTCCTTCAAATCCACAAGAAGCACGTACCAATAGTTCTGTTATGTGGTTCAAAAATAGGGTAACAATATTTCTTCATCATGTTAAGCTATTTCTAATATTACTATATACCTATACATATATAGTATACAATATATTAACTCCGTTATTTATTGATACAAACCATTTAATTTATTAAGGAAGGAAGATAGTATAAATTTGACTAATAATACATATATATATATATATTTGGTAGGTATTAAATGGCTATCATGAAGTGAATGAGGTATTGCATTACCTTGCAATTGGGCCAACAGGGACAGTGAATGTGTACACAGGATATTATGTCAATGGTTTTAGATTTATGATACAAGAAATCAGTAGCAGAAGACAAACGTATAATTGTGGTGTATGTGTCAAAGGAGCAACGATATCTGATGAGGCTGAGACTGATTATTATGGCATCCTGAATGAAGTCATTGAGCTACTGTATTACGGCCCACATGGGCTATAGACAATTGTCTTATTCAACTGTGATTGGTTCGATACAAATAGGGGAACACGTGTGAACCAAGTTTATGACCTTGTTGAGGTCAATCCAAAGTATAAACTATCGACCGGTGAGCCATTTTGCTTGGCATGTCAAGCAACTCAAGTGTATTATACTAATTACCCATCAAATAATCAAACAACTCGTGGATGGTTCGTCGCATGCAAAATACGTGCTAGACATTTGGTTGACACTTCTTCGACTACATTTGAAATGGATGAAACATTCCAAGATGAAGAGCCACCATCCACACAATCGAATGAGAATAGCATTGATGTTGTATCGATAGAACCCATGGAGTTGCATGCAGGCGGAGCAACAGTGGTTCAAAGAAATGAAAATGGGGATGATGATGTAGATCAAACTGCGAATGAAGGAGATGAAGGATATGAGACATTAGGGGATGTTGATAGCGATAATAGCAATACATAATAATAGTTTACACACTTAGTATATGCTCTTTGGTATGTTGATTTTTTCAACTTGATATTTTTATGAAACATGTATGCTTAGAGTACTGACTATTACCCTTTTTTTTTTTTTGTTCATTGCCATTATTTATGATACTGTAACTACATAAAAAAAATTCATAAATAGGGAAATATAAATCTTTGGTGAAAAAGTACTAACATATTTTACATGATCATATGTTTTGCAAGATGTCAGGTGGGCCCATGAGCTCCGCACGCAGTCGGGGGACAGCAAGGAGACGAGCACGATCTGATGCTGTAGATCTAGGATGTTCGAGTACCCCAATAATGGAGCCACGTCCAGCACAGTCTATTAGTCCACAAGCATCAATTCATGTTGCAGTTTCAGGAAATCGAGAGGGCAAGAAGGGAAGAGGGCCCAACAAAGCTAAGAAAGGTCCAAAAACACCTGATGAGAGACCACTGATACAACTTTCACCCAATAGACAATTCTTGGATGTAGAAGTGCCAAGATTGATTACAACCTTGTGGAAGAGGTTCTATGATGGTGATTACTTCACCTATGAGCTGTTTCTAGAAGAAAAACGAGTGTAAGTGTGGGAGCTATTTAAGGTAAAAAGAATTGTCAGTTCATACATAATCATGACATTTAATAAGTACCTCTGATTAATGCTAATTGTATTAAAGTCAAAGTATGCATAATAAAATGGAATACTGTCTATATAATCTAGTAGTATGGTACGTGTTACTAGTGTACTACAAAATAATTGGTCAATATGTTGTTACAAGCACATTATAAATGGCCTGTGCAAGAAGAAGATGCAGTGAGGAAGGCTTTCTTAAGCTCAATGAAGAAAAGATGGAGTGACAACATGAAGGATGAGCGGGACAAATGGAGGAAAAACAGTGACTACAAATCGATATGGGCGCCAGATCACCTATGGCCAAACCTATGCACTTACTGGGATTCTCCCGAGTTTGCTAGTCTCAGTGGTAGGGGGAAAAAAAATCATGAATTTGGTGACAGGGTGACGCACACAACAGGATCTGTGAGTTTTGATGTGCACAAAGAAAGGATGGTAAGGTTGGGAAAAAAGAAAAATATATATATAATAATCTGTAAACTATAAACATAGATGACTTGGTAATTGATGTAATATGGTTGTGACATACAGACCAAAGCTGCTGAGGGGGTGAGACCGGGACATCAAGACCTATACAGGGAAACACATACAATGCAAAAAGGTGTCCCCCGAGGTGAGGAAGCTCCATGGTGTGGCGAAAAACATAGAGCTTGTCATGTAAGTGCAATCATAGTATATAAGATTGTCCCATGAGTGATGTGGATTGTTAACAAAAGATAATAAATGGTATATTAAAAAGCTAGAAGCACTAAATAAAATATCAAAGGAATTTTGCATAAGTAAATATCAGTATATGTTGGTGTTTGTGAAATAGATTTTGGTATTGTGTAACTGGAGTAGGTATGTTGAAAACAAGAGCAACATTGTATGAGAATTGAATATTATAGTACTAAGTAAAAAAGACAAGTGATTGTATGTTAACAAATGGTACTTTGTTATCACTGTTGTGTTAATACAAATCGTTACATATTTTAGCATTGTTACATGCATAAATCATTCCTAAATTCACACTTATGGATCATGTATTTTTGGGCACTACTTTTGTAGGATACATATGTTGCTAAGTGCTCTATTACACATGGGTCAGACTCAGCTTCATGGCCAGCAAGAGATAATGATGCATGGGCAAATGCTGTTGGGGGATGTCATAGCAACTTCATGCTCGGGATTGGGTCATAGGTCAATCCAGAGGATATTGGATTTACCTATAGAAAACGAGGGTTCTGACCTTGCTGAAAAACAAGCACAGGATCGGGAGACAATGGAGGCAATGAGGACGGAAATAAACCATGTGAAGGAGGAAAGAGAAGTTATGAAATGCATGATGGAAGAGATGGGCAGGATGCAATCATGTTTGTCACAACAATTTGCTACTTTTAATGCATATGGGATGCACCCCCCTATGGTTGGCCCATCATTTCCTCCTACTGGGCAAGCATTTCCTCCTACTGGGACATCATGTCCTCCTGCTGGGCCATCATTTCAGCATGATATGTCAATGCAGCTCCCAATGGAGCATGGAATCCCCATGGGCAATGTAGGGAGACAGTCAAAAGCAGCTGATACATCCCCAAGCAATCCTCCACATGATGATTATGTTTACCACCCGAGATTTGATGCAGATTACCCAGGTCCATTTGGGTCGGAATGACGGTTGTGAAAGAGGTTGTGAACTTAGAACTTGTTGTGTTGTTGATTTTTCATGGAACTACTTTCAGTTTATCGATGGATGATTTTAATTTGTTTGGACATTGGTCTGTATGTCACTTTGGAGTGAATGTTTTACAATAATATTAACTAAATTTCTCTAAGTTATAGGCTTATAATAAATAGTAGTCATATTACATGCAGAATGTGGTAATTATATAGTTGTCTTTTCATTTATGATTAGGTTAAGGGGAAATTATATAAGTACACAATTGTAGTTCAGTGATAAATTAAAGAGAGAGTAGGGAAGAAGAGCTTTGCACAATGTTTTTATAGAGGTTTGGTCCAACCACTTGAAGTGTAGTCTTCCACTTTGGCTTCACTCATCAAGGATGTCCTTTACACTCTCAACTAAGAAAAACAAAGGTGGTTTAAAAGGAGCTACTCAATTCTTTTACAAAAAAGAAGGGTATTTCTCTCAAATATCTATAAATGTGAAGAAAAAAAACAAGAAAAAGAGGAGAGAGTTAAAGTCGAGAGTTAAAGTTGAGAGGGAGATGCCATTATTTTTTTTAAATAATAAATTATTACAGATAAATGGTATTTTCTTTTTGAATTTTAAACAAATAAATAAAATCCATATTGCCAATTGCATTATGTATATTTTTATAGAAAATAAATTTTTTAAAACAAAATAAAGCAAGCATTAAATTTAGCCAATATGAGAACTCAAGTTCTTATTATTATATTGCCATTGGATTTAAGATCTTTAATAAAAAAAAAAGTGAAATTCTTAATGAATTTTTCTATTTTGTGCCCTTAGGTGCACTAAATGTATTTTTTTATAATTAATTTTTATTAAAAGTATAAATGATGACTTTAATTTAATCAATTAACTAATTAAAATTATCAACATATTAATAATGTTAAAATATATATTAATTTTTATAATTTTTAATGTAAATTAACTATAAAAAATATATTTATTACATTTTTAACATGTGCCTTAAAAGTACATGTTAGATAAATCCATTCTTAATTACTAAAACTTTATTTATGGATATTTTTTTTGTTAAAGTAATAATAAATCCATTAATAAATGAGAAAAATATATCAAGGAAAAGGAACGGCTTACTGCCATTGCAAATCCTCCAACTTTGCAAAAGGACTCAATGTCATCCTTCTAGTTTAAAAAATATATAAAAATCCTTCAATTTTGGAGAAGGTGCCAAGCATCATCCCATCCGTTGACGGACGTTATAACACCGTCCCTTCTTCCAAATTAACAATTGTTACTCCCTAAACCTTTGGTTTCAATGTACTTTGATCCTCAAGCTTTAAATTTATTCAATTTGGTCCCAATTTCAACTTTTCTTATTACATTTTAGTCCTAAAACTTTTTAAAGAGTTATACTTAAAGTTCCAAAATTTCTAATTCCATGTTTCCATAATTTTTTTTTTTGTAAAATTAAAAAGAAAATATTTAAAATTCAATAAAATCACATTTAACTCATCAAAATATATATAAATCAGTAAATGGGCGGTAAATGGGCGTGCAGGAGGTAGCAATTTGAAATTTAGCAATATGCTCCACGTCGGTGATGAGGCATGCTAGTGCAAATTGCAGTCACTTTTACCAACATGGAATATGTTGCTGATTGGAGGGCAAACTTTTTACCAACATGAGACATGATGCTAAAGGTTCTTTATATACTCCACCCCCACCCCCCTTGCTCCACACCGAGCTGATCTCCTCCATTTTTATTCTTCCTTCTGCAATTCCTTTTATGTGCATGCCCCTGCTCCACACCAAGCTGATCTCCTCCATTTTTATTCTTCCTCCTGCAATTCCTTTTATGTGCATGATGTGCTGGTTGAATGCCTCCTCCATTTCTCAGCATTTTCTTTCCTTAATTGTTGCAGAAATCCTCCATATCTCACTCATTTTTTTATACATTAATTATATTAGATATTTTTTTG